GGCGTCGCCTGTCAGCTGGACCGGTTCGCCTTTGGGGGGGAGGAGCGGCGGTGGGCGCGGGTGGTGGTCCGGGAGGGGAGTCTCCACGAGGCCGTCCGCCGAGGCGGGGGGGGAAGGAAAAGGGAAAGGGAACGGGGAAAGGGAAAGGGAAGGGGAAGGGGAAGGGGGGGAGCGGCGGTTGCTCGCCGCGGCGCCGCCGGCCCCGGGGGCATGGGCGCCCGCGAGGCACTTCTTGGAGCTCACCTGGTTGACGGTGCAGCCTCGCCACGTGTCGGAGCTGCTCCCGGGCGAGGCGTCCGGCGTCGAGGCGAATCCGGAGGAGGAGGTCGAGCTCCGATTGCAGCCCCTCGCGTTGACGTGGAGCGGGTCGTCGTTGGATTTTTTGCTCCGTTTCATGGATGGGAGCGCGAGCCCGACGGCCGGGGGACGAGGGGGCGGCGAGGATCCGCACGGAGGCGTGAACCCCCCGGCGCTGCGGAAGGTCCGCGAACTGGGGGATTGGCAGCTTCCCCCACCGCTGTACTTCCGGGTTTTTATTCTTTACCCCACCACCATCTTCCTGACGGGCTCCTTTGAGAGCCAAAAAGGTCTGCTGAACGCCCTGGCGGAGGGCAAGCGGCTGGAGATTCTGCGCAACACGCCTATTTTGTCATGGATGAGTGTCGATCGCCTCCCATTGCAGATCCCTCTTATCGTGATCGACTCCTGCGAGGCGGATCAGCTCCCGCGCCGCATCCTCGAGGACGCGAATTGTTTCAGCCTTCGTTTTTTGCTTACCGTTTGCTGTTGTGCGTGGCAGCCTCTTCACGCCGCGGCGAGGATTGGCGGGGCCGCGCGTGGGCTGATTCTCGCGCCCCTCGCGCGTTTTCAACGCGGTGACGAAGGGTGGCAGCGCGCCCTCCTCCGGGCGTCGAATCGCCTTGTGCGGGAGCTGCTGGCGCCCTCCGCGCGTGGGCTCCTCGCCGCCCTCCCTGGGTGGAAACAAACCCCGCCTGGAGCGGCCGCGCCGTCCACAAACCCTCGCGAGTTCCCACAAAAGGTGAAAAAAACGGCCAAAGTGAAGGCAGCCAACGCAAAGGAGGAGGAGCCACACGACCTCGCCAGCTTCAGCCTCGCGCCGGATGGTTCGCTTCGGCAGATCCCGGCCGCGGCGCTGCGGGTTTTGATGGGCCTCTCTGCTGCCGCCACCTCCGCACTGTGGGGGCTGCGAGAGACCCCGGGGCGTGGCGGAGAGCGGTGGAAAGAAGAGCCCACCTTCACAGGGAGCTCTCCGGGAAAAAAACTCAATACGCGTGGTTACTAAGCTCCTTCGTTCCCCCCTTCCCTTCTCTAGCGTTTTTTTACGCCTTCGATCGGATACCTCCCCATATCTATCAGCCTCGACTCCGGATAACACAATGTGGTTGTACACATCTCTTTCGGTTTCCACCTCCACGACCCAGTCGGGGTTCTCTCCACCCCGTTCGCTGTCTTATGTGCGTATTCTTTATTCAGTTATTTTTGGTTTTTCTCAATTCCAATTCTTTCGCCCCTCTCCACCACCTCTTTGTGTCTGTGTCTATTAACCGCATCCAGCTTTATTATTCTCTTTTTTTATACCCGTTTTTGACTCATACAAATATCCAATTGCTTTTCTTTCTTTCTGTGTGATTGCGGAAGGTATGTGCTAGAAAAAAAATCGAACACAGGCAAGGCGAAGGCAGCTTTACCTGTTTCCAATTGACAAGTGATGGTCCTGAAAAGGCGGATTAGCGCTTTATTTTTATGAAAGTGATGTTCTTACAAATAAAACATGCAGCTAGTGTCAATGTGGTCACTACATTTGATTTCCAAAATATGCAGTGAAGTCGAAGGAACACACGACGATCTGTGGTTCCTTTGATGTTTTCAATAGGATCCTGTTTATGTTTTTTGAAACGCCATCCCCCCCTTCCTCTATCCAGACCTTTTTTTCATTGCTATAGTTTTGAGCTTGTATTGATCCTTTTTGATCTCATCAGCAGGTTTATTCTCAGAAAGGGGTATTCAGGCGTATTCCGCCGTGTTCTCTATCAAACGGGGATCCGAATCTACTGAGAAGGCCCTCCATCTGCCGACCCCCACGGCCATGAATTCGGTCCCCTTGCGACCCGGTTCGTCATCCTTCGCTAGTGGGAGTACGGGGGATGTGAACCCGCCGTTCAGAGCCGCTCGATGCCCTCGCCACCCCTTCGTCCTCGACAATGCTTTTGAGGTGAACCACACGCCTCCTCGACCCTTGAGATCGGACGCTCAGGAGGGGAAACTGCCCCGGTGGAGGGGGAAACCCCATTTCGGGATGGCATCAAGCCACCCTCCCCCCCCTCCTCCCACTTTCATTGCTCCCCCAACCGATGCTGGGAGAATGCCCCTCGCGTTTTCTTCCTCGAACGCTTCTTCGCCAGATCCTTTCATGGGGCTTTCCTCCAAGGGAGGGAGGACTCCTTCCCGCCGGATGTTGCCCTCCTATGAAACCGCCTTGACGCAAAAGCAGCTCCCACGAAGGCATTCCGATCCATCAAACCCTGAAAACCTCCCCACGCCTTCCGCGCCTCCGCCTCCTCTTCCGCTGCCTCCTGCGTCCGCGTCGTCAAAGGTGACGATCCCGATCCCGCGGAGTGGGTGCCCCGCCTGCGGGGATGCGGACTGGAATGAGGTCCGTTCCCTCCTCGCCCACCACATGGAGCAGATGAAGGTCCCGGACACGGGAACGAAAACGGAAACGGAAACGGAAACGGAAACGGCCACCAAGCGAGAACGTCAGACCGCGACTGAGGGTGAGGCTGAGGCTGAGAGCGAGAGTAAGAGTAAGAGTGAGCAGGACACGACCGGGCCCTGTGACACGAACGCAACCGCAGCGGTGAAGCCCTCCCTTGTCCTGCAGCGCTTCCTTGACATCTACGCGACGCAGGAGGAGGTGGAGGCGGGGGTGGGGGAGACCCTGCGGGCCCAGCTGCGGACGCCGCAAGGGGCGACCGGGACGTTGGACGTGGGGGCCTGCCTCGACATCATCGATCAGCACGACGTCAGCATCATCGTGACGGATACCGGGACGGGGAAGAGTAGCCTCCTGCCAAAAGGCATCTTAATGCGGGAGAGCAGGGCGCGCATCGTGAACTGTCAGCCCCGACGAACCACCACCATCAACCTCGCCGAGCGGGTGGCGCAGTTGATTGGAGAGGGGGCATTAGGGCAGACTGTGGGGTACTCCGTGCGTGGAGCGCGCATCGGGGATCTCGGGGAGACGCCGCTGATGTACGTGACGAACTTCACCCTCTTTCTTTACCTGATATGGCGGCCGCCGGAGGATATCCCGTTCACCCATATCATCCTGGACGAGTTCCACGATCGCGGCTCCGAGGTGGAGCTCCTGCTCGTGCTCCTGAAGCTCGTCATCCAGCGCTATCCGAAGAAGTTCAAGATCGTGCTCTGCAGCGCGACCGCGCAGGTCGAGGAGTGGATCGACTTCTTTGATAACCTTTCCATTGGGGAGTACAACCAATCGAATGCGATGTTTCCCGTGCATAAATACTTCATTGAGGATATCTGTGAGATGATGAGTAGGAAGTGTCCGCGTATGAAGCTGAACACGGGCAGCGTTGTGGATTCGGTGCAGCTTCATTTCATCACGTCGATGATTAAGGAGACGCTTGTCTTCCTTGCTACCGTCTTGGATCCGCGCCACAGCATCCTAGTTTTCCTTCCCGGGCGAACCACCGTCGAGCACTTCGCAAAGTGGATTCACAGCAGTCTGAGTAATGAGCTGGACCCGATAATGTGGTACTCCGGGGTTGATCTCAACTACATTCAGGAGGCGATTCAGCGGGAGTCCACCACGAAGAAGAAGGTGTACCTCGCCACCGACATCGCGGAGTTGGGCTTGACGCTTCCGGACGCTGTCGTCGCGATTGATTCCGGGATGTGCAAGAGGCCGATGGTTTCCGAGAAGAACCCGTACAGCGTAGTGTTTCCGCCCTTGGAGCTTCTCTGGGAGAGCGCGCTAAATGCACGGCAGCGATGTGGGCGGGTGGGGCGTGTGCAACAGGGCTTTTACTTCTCCATGCTTCACCGTAATCACTTTCATCATCTTGGGAAGGGCGACAGTCGGATTGCAAACTCTGTGCTGAACAGCATCGTACTACTCTCCTTGCAGCTTGCTAGCTCCGTTTCCAGCGTGTTTAGGCTCTGTTATCAAAAGCCCCGACGGGTGAGTATTATCCACAGCCTGGATGCGCTACAGGATGACGGCTTTATTATCCCCCAGAGCCACAAGCTAGCCTCGAAGGAGGTGATTCGATTCATAAAACATGGCGATAAAAACGCCATCGCCTCCTCGATGGCGTGGAAGACGCTAGTTGCCGAGCTGAACATGGAGATGACGCGAAAGGAACAGCTCACGAATCGCGACGATTCGAGGGTTTCGGGCCTTGGGCGGGATTCGATGGAAACGACGCGGAGGTTGGCGGACGGGAATCATTGCGAGGTATCCAAATCTCAGGAAGACGCTCTTCCAGAGATCGCCGATGCTCACTTTCAGGTTACCCTCAAAGGCTTCTTTGTGTCGTGCCTCCACACAAGCATTCATTCAGCTTCCACTGCGTTTTATGGCGTCATGTTTAACATTCCGATGCTCTGTATTATCGCGTCGGTGGTGGAATCGGTTGGACGGCCTTTTTCCACACCGTATGACATTTATGACAAAGTAGAAAAGCTCGAGGCGTGCAGGAATGTATCGGAGTTCATGCGTACCTTTAAAGGAGAGTTGAATAGTGACATCGTCGCGAGTGTCGGGGCGGTGTTGAGTTATATGGATATGCAGCGCAACGGCTTCTCCGATGAGGCGCAAGAGCAGTGGTGTTCGGAGAGGTATCTTAGCCGCATCCGACTGACAGAAACACTCGACGTGGTGAAACACATGAAGGAAAGCGTCAGTACTTTTTTCCCCCTCCCCGTGAATGATGATATCGATGCGCTCCTCGAGCAGTACGACCGTTACGCGTTGTTGCTCAACTTCATCTGCATCGGAGCCCACCTGCAGCGGGCGGCGTACGTGGAAGCGGGAGAGGCAGGAGTAGGAAGAGGGGGAGGGGGAGGGAGGGGGAGAGCAACCCCTAAAGCCCCTCACTCTGGATCGGGTATTTTTATTAAAATGCACATTGAGAAGGATTATGTCGTGCCGTCAATTTGCCCGTGGGATGAGTGCAACGTTTGCGTGCCGTTGATCTTGCGCACCACGTACCGCAAGCTCCGTGCGGACTTCGCGATGCAGGTCGATCCCGCGGTCTTCAACCTCGCTACGTTGATCTTTGCGTTTCGTGTGATCTTTCGCGCCCCTGATCCGGTGAAAGTAGGGGAAGGCTCACAGGCCTCAACGAAGCACCACTTCACGGCATTTCGCTTTCAAGTGATCTTCATGGGCGTACAGCAGACTTTCTGCTGTGATACGGTGACGGGGAAGCTGATAATTCAGCTCCGGCGGATGATATGCGCGAGGCTCCGCGCGATGCACAACTTTTTGGAGGAACAAGGCGATACCGAGGACCTGAACCCGGAGGTAAAGCGGGAGGTCGAAGATGATTCCGACTTCGGCATTCCCGACTCGTACATGGAGAGCCCCGATTCCATATCAGCGCTGTTGCAGCAGGGGCTGACGAAGCTGCTGAAACGATTTGAACACGTCAAGGGAAACACGATTAAGCGGCGCACGGATCAGACCTCCGGTGATGCCAACGGGGATGCCGACAAGGATGCTTTCTGTTCCGTGATGAGCCCTCCTCAGGTGCTCCCGCCTCCCTTGATAGAGTCGCTTCTCGTGCATTCCTGCAACGGCATCTTTTATGTGGATGTTCAAACATGAAAAGGAGCTCAGCAGAACACGAAATGGTAGCGAAAAGAGGTTGAAGAGAGGAGGTGTTCATACGTCTATCTGAATGTTTGATTCATCCGTAGGGTGTGATAGAGTCGCATATAGAAGTTGAATGAATTCTTTGTAGGAAGAAGATACTCTTTGGGTATGTTGATGTATGAATGGGTGCCTTGCTTTTTAGTAAATAGGTGTGTGCTATGCTTTAACAGTGGTTGTCAATATACATTTATAGTAACATCAAGTTTATCGAGTCTATTGGAGCTGGGTCCATTAATAGTGTTCCTGAGACCTCTCTTATACCCGAATAAATCGTGAATTAGTATTTCTTTACTATTAACAACCGCTAAGATTCTTGCTTCTTAAATATGCCATTGATATTCCGTTTAAGAAAACTAAAGCAGATTGAATATTCTATTTTTCAGTTTGTTGGGGTATATTTTTTTTCGATACCAGTGAGACTTACTTGTTACCTAATCAAGTGCGTGCGCTGTTTTATTTAAATAAGATATCTCTAAATTATTTTGCATATGGATTTTATCCAGTCTTGAGTCAAGCTTCACATGAGAGCAGTTCGGATTTTTTTGTTTCTTCGCTTTTGTATTATTTTGACATTGACTAGTAAAGACACGCGTATCGCTATGAAGAACTCTGTAATCGACTCGAATCATGGGACATGAGAGGCATCAACAGATTTCATGGATATCCTCCTCGATACTGTTTTCCTTTTGTTCTATAAAAAGTGGGAGTTGAGCCTGACATACATTTAGTATTTTCAGTTATCTTTCATAGATATAGTTTATTCTACCGTATGTCGTCTGCGGAAGGCATTGTCGTGTTCACAACACCCAACGAAGCCTCTAAAACTTTCTTGACGAGGGAGCATGGGTGCGGTGAGTTCAATGCTCGACAAGGGATCGCATCGGATGCCGTTTTACGCCACTACCGCACCCTTCTCGCGTTACTAAACCAACGTCTCCGCCGTGAGGTGGAGTGGGGGGGATACCCTTCTTGGCCTTCTTCGAAATCCTTTTCCACACTGCGTGGTTCTGCCAATAACGCGGGGCTTTCAGGGGCGCCTTATTGCTTCCTTCAACCTATCTCACCGTGCTTAAAGACCACGAAGTGCGCGGGTCTAAGTGAAACCCTCTACGTCGCTCACATCAGGCAGGAGGAGGGGTCTGAGCGAGATTCTTTGTATTTCATTGACACTAATGATCTTTATACGGCATCACCCGGGGACCGAGGAGGCGGGGAGTGTGGTAGTGATCAAGGAAACGAACCGTCGAAGCCGACCAATGATTTAACACACAATGGGGATACCCCAAAGTGCACCGATTCCGATTGCCTTTTCACAGAAACCAACATCACCCCCGGTAAGGCGGGGTACGCAGAGAAACGCGTACAGACGATCATTGAGGCGGCGCGGAGCCGTTTTGTTGCCGTTTTCAGCCGCTTAACACACAAGAAATATCGACCATCCAATCTAAACAAGGCGGAGGAATTCCCAAGAGTTCTACTGGTGGTGTTGTGTGATGAGGACTTTGCTCTTTTCGCGGCTGTCGATTCTGTTTTCACCTTACCACAGCTACTGCTTTCATCCGATTCCGCTGAGGTTTTTTCAGGGCGCGTTGATGAGGGCAAACGGGACGTTAATCCCGACTCCGCGAGCGCCACCTTACCGAAGGGGAATTCGTTTGTGATAAAAGGTTACCCGCGCCTTTTTAAGACCGAACGGGGTGATGAATTAGGCGATTCTATGGCGGATTCATCTCTCCTCACGCCACCAGGGTGGATGGTCGTGAAAGGTGGAAATCCCCCCCTCCCCGACCTTCCCAGACTTCCCCCGGGTGTTCAGGTTGTTCGAAGTTCGTTTGTGATTCATTCGCTTCATTTTGGAATGTGGTGTGCGCCGGTTGATTTCGCATGGGGCGTGCATCTTCCCTGTGATCGTGAGAGCCTCCACGGAGAGATGGGGGCTTTAGGGCTGAACACGGCAGCAAGGCAGCCGAAAGGAATGAATAGTCTGGATGAACTTCTTCAGGGAGTTTGGGCGACGTGTTTGGAAAACCAGATGGTAAACGCGTTGGCGCCATCCACCACAACAGAGTCCCCTTCGCCCCTCGCCCAGGGATTCTCAAAGTCTTTTTCCAACGAGGATCATCCGCTCTTTACGGACGCCCCGTTACCTCCGTCTCCATCGGATTCGGAAGCTAACCACACCCAGGGTGGGATGCTTTCCCCGTGGGGGTGGATCTCTCAACCGGGGGTGTTCAGAAAGGGGTCGTCTGGTGATTCTCAGCCTTTTTCACCCGCTTTGTCAACCACAACCGGGGGATCCCGTGTTTTTTTTCACGAGGATGTGAAACGAGCTTTGCTTGAGGTGGACGTGCGCTACGTGCGGCGGAAACGTCCACGTCGGGAGTCCCATTCCCCCCTTCTCCCGGCGGATTTCACCCCCCCACGTCGGGAGGAGGTCCTTCGGCAGGTGTTGCGGCGTCGTTTGGAGGGGAGTCCCCCTTTGTTGCCCGCTCTTTTTCCCTCGTCAATTCCATCGGGTGGGGTGGGGAAGGGCGTTTGGTTCCCCACCCTTGAGCGGCTTTTCGCGCGGGAGCGGTTGGGTTCTCCCCTGTTGCCTTCTTTCGTCTTTTCCGAAGCGTGGCTTCGTCGTCGTCTTCGCCCTCCTCGCATCGCGTTGACGTCGTTACGAGCGGCAGAAAAGGAAAACGACGCAGAGGAATCCGAAGAAGCCGAAGGCGAAGGCAACGCGGC